CAAAGGTATTTGAGAATCTTTCTACATCATTGAAGCTGATTCACTCTCAAAGTGGTGTCTTGTCCTTTTTCATCTGCAACTTTCTTTTTTTTTTTTTTTTTTTTTCTGAATACGCAGATTCTTGCATCAAGAACCTTGGAACAGCGATGTGAGATACTTGCTTATTCTGAATCTCATGCAGAAGGCTCGTGAACAGAGATTTCCTAGACAACTATGTAGTGCTATTGAGAGTCTAATCTCTGTGGCACTCTCTGATGAGGTATTTTCAAAGGAAAGCGAATATCAAAAGTTCCAGCTTCTGCTTTGTGCTTCTGAGATCAGTTTGCAGAAGGGAAATACAGCAGAGTCTATTGACCATGCTCGAAAAGCCTCTTCCCTTTCGCTTCCACGTAGCTACCTGTTTCTATCACATTTGCAGCTTTGCCGTGTCTATGCAGCAAAAGGGAGCACCAGAAACATGCAAGAGGAATACAAAGCGTGTTTGGAGCTCAAGACTGACTCAAATATTGGTTGGATCTGCCTGAAGCTCATCGAATCTCAGTTTGATCTGGAGGCTGATACTAACCTCTTAGAGATGATGAACCTACAAGAAAGTCCAAGCCAGAAGAATAGTTCATGGAAAGAGTGGATGGCTGTCTACGGTCTAGCTCTTGGCTTAGTTTCTTTCGGGAAAAGAGACTTTTCCTCAGCGGAGGAGTTCCTTTCACAAGCTTGTTCGTTGAGTAACTCAGAGAGTTGTCTACTTCTCTGCCATGGTGCTGTCTGCATGGAGCTGGCTAGACAGACTAACGACTCGCATTTCTTGTCACTAGCTGTAACGAGTCTTAGCAAAGTTCAAGCGAGTTCGTTGACTCCTTTGCCTATTGTCTATGCTTTATTGGCTCAAGCACATGGAAGTCTTGGCTCTAAGGAGAGATGGAAGAAGAATCTTCGTCTTGAATGGTTCTGCTGGCCACCAGGTACTACTGAATGAGACTGTTCCATCCTTTTTTATTTTCTTCATCTAACTTTCCACAAATCTAAACGTGCTTTATGCTTTTTGGACAGAGATGAGACCTGCAGAGGTTTACTTCCAGATGCATTTACTTGCAAGAGAATCAGAAGACAGACCTGAAACCGCTCCAGGGATTGAAAACTGTCAAACCTCTGAAAAATGGGTGCTTAGGGCGATTCACACTAACCCTTCTTGTATGAGATACTGGAACGTCTTGGATAAGCTTGTTCAACATCCCATTAGCATTAGCTAAGAACCAAAACAGAGAAGAGTAGAACCGTTCTGTTTGTTCTGTTTTTTTCCCCCTGTTACAGATGCTTTGACATGTAATGCTTTGTGAATGAGAAACACACTGAATAGTATTCATGGAGTTTATTACTTGCAAAGCCATATATATTTACAGCGTCAGCAATCAAACAAGAAAACATATAAAGCCACAACAACATTGGATGGGCTGATACTTAACTCATCATCATAAGTGCAAACTCATCAAAACTTAAAACTCCATCAGCATTAAGATCAAAAGCTTTGATCATAACTACACAATCATCAGTGGTTCTAGTCTCACCAAGATTCATCAGCATCATCTTCAAGCTTCTAGGAGTAATGCAATCTTCTCCCTCAGCAATATACATTCTAAACGCTTCCATGATCTTGCTCTTCTTCTCTTCCTCTGTAAACTCATCACCACCATTGAATAACTGAGCAAACTCCTCATAATCCAACATCCCATCACCGTCTATATCAGACAGTTTAACCGCAGCTTCAGCTTCTTCATCAGACAGTTGCTCTCCCAATGTCTTGAAACTCTTTTTCAACTCCTCTGCAGAGATTCTACCGTCTCTGTTTGCATCCATGTATGTGAAAACAGCCGCCAAATCTTTGTTCTTGTCTTCACCATTGCTCTCTGAGGAGAGTCTCTTGCAGAGTTTCATGAATGATGAAGATAACTGACGTTGAGTAGTCTTCATGATGACAAGTTCTCTTCTTCTTTGTAACTATTTAACAGTTTGATGAGAAAATGGTCTAAATGGTGTCTCTATATATATACAATGTTTCAAGTTTCGAGAATAGAATGGGACTAATAAAAAAATAGAAAGTGAAAAGTATCAAACGTGGGAGATTCAGAAATAGGTGGTTAGATCTTAAGAAAACAAATAATATTTAGTCTTTAGGTCTTTAGATCTACAAGAAAACGTATTATTAGTGTTTAGATCTGTATAGTAAGGAAAATATTAGTATATCAGTTACAGGTCTCATCCCCATGTTTAAAACACGTTTTCCCTTGTTTTTTTTCTTCTTAGCTTTGGAGTTAGGATTAAGAAAGGGTAATTATCACATGTTTTTAATCACTGAATATGCATTTGGTTTTACTCACTAATTAATCAGAGAGGACTATGAAGCTGCCTGATGTGTTAATTTGTCTGGTTTCTCATTTCCTACTGTAGTGTTGGTTTGATTGATCTCTCTGTAGCCTTTTTCTTCAAAACACAAATCATTTAGTTGAATGCATTTTTTTAGTGAAATCAACTTCTTTGGAATTTTATACCCCAAAAAAGAAGTTTGTTGAATCTAGAATAATAAGTAAGACACATAACAAGATGAGATCTAACAGATATTAACATATCAACTCATTTGCTAATTGGTTTTGAGTAGAAAGTTTATAAAACACAATATTTTGACTTCTGTCTTGGTATATTATATTACTCTAGTACTGTCAATCTATTAGTATAATTCAGGTGGTGTCTTAATTTTATTTCAGAACAAAGTCTTTATTGGTCAAGAGAAAGAGGTTTATTAGTAGCAAGGGGATCTTACTAGATGATTCCTCTATTTGTTGCCGTTATGTAAGCTCAATTTGAATCAAGTTGTCGTATTATTGACTGCATATGCTCAACTTTTGTCTTTTTTTTTTCCAACTTTTTCTTGAAATGTGTGCTTCATGGAATAATAGTATGTACACATCTACACAAATTTAGTAGATGAATGCATATTGCAAAGCTTAATATGACACATTCTCCCGATGTAACAAAGGTGTACATGTGAATTTAATGTTATATAAAAACATTTCTTATTGTCTAACAAGCCAACGTATATACATTAATCATATTCTTAATCAAATAGAAGGATGGAAAAAAAAAAGAGAAGCTACAATAACAAATGAGAGGTGATTATAATAAAAACACTTAACGCATCATAAGAGCAAACTCATCAAAGCTCAAAACTCCATCAGCATTGAGATCAAAAGCACGAATCATAACTCTACAATCATCAGTGGTTCTTGACTCACCTAACTTCTTTAACATCATCTTCAAACTTCTAGGAGTAATACACTCTTCACCTTCATCTATATACATTCTAAAAGCTTCCTTGAGCTCAACCTCCTTCTCTTCCTTATCATCATCTCCTTTGATTAGCTCAGCAAACTCTTGAAAATCCAACATCCCATCTCCGTTTGTATCAGACAATCTAACCGCAGCTTCTGCTTCTTCATCAGATAGTTCCTCTCCTAGTGTCATGAAACTCTTCTGAAGCTCGTGTGGAGATATTCTACCGTCTCTGTTTGCGTCCATGTAGTCAAAGACAGCCTCTAAGTCTTTGTTCTTGTCATGATCATCATGGATGTTAGGTTGTATCTCTGCGGATGAATCTTTTCTCTTAGGTGAGAGTTTCCGACAGAAATTCACAAAAGATGAAGAGGATTGAGCTTGAGTAGTATTCTTCATCATGATAGTAAAAAAAAAAATATGTTTGAATGAGTAATTGTGACAAATAAGGGTTTCTATTTATAGATAGGCGTGTGACGTGTGACAAGTGTGTCAAGTTGTATAAAGACGTGGGAGATTAATTTTTTTTTAGGTATGTTGGCGTTATTTATGGGTATTATTTGGTCTAAAGTTTCTGTGTATAAAACACGGTTTGCTTCTTTTTCTTCCATTTTAATTGGTTAATAAATTATAATTTTGAAGACCAGCAGCCACTTGTTTTCAACACTTGCATCAACACGAAATTTATCGGTGGGAGCTTGGAAGCTTCACTTCTTATCGTCTCTCTCTTTTGTTTTTATCTTTTAAGATTTTTTTCGATTGAAACATGACATCTATATAGTATTACTATATTACTATGTAAAGTATATGATTAATATAACAATATAAATATTTATCATGGAATACATGTTTAATTAATATTAAATATTATACTTTTTCCTGTTATCAAAATAATAAATCAAACGTTGAAATCTACTAACTTATGTGAATTAGTCTAACCAAATCAGATTAACATATCGATTAGATTGAATTGGATCAAATCGATATTGAATGATATTAAATTTTGAAATGAAATAGTTGTTAATATTAGGCTTCTATATTCGGATATTTATTAAAAAATATAATGTTAATTATATACTACATGTTGGTTGATTGATATATTTAATCTTTTTTAACTATTGTATAATTGAAAATATAATCTATAACATTATTTGAGAAGTAAATTTGCTTAGTTGTCAACTTCTCCATGATTTTAGGTTATTTTGATTATTTTCATGTTTAAATAATTTATTATATAATAAAAACGAATTTATGTTAATAATATTATATTTTTAGAAAATATGTTAATTATTTTATATTAGATTATTATCTTAAAAATATATTTTCCAATTATTATTTTAGAAGTAATTTTGCTTAGTTGTCAACTTCTCCATGATTTTAGGTTATTTTACTTATTTTCATGTTTTAATAATTTATTATAAAATAAAAAAAGAATTTATGTTATAATATTTTATTTTTAGAAAATGTATTAATTCTTTTATATTAGATTGTTATCTTAAAAATATATTTTCAATTATAAAATCTAAGTGAATTTGCTGATGAATTTGTAACTTTCTGTGATTTAGGTAATCTATACTATTATTTGTGAATGATTATTTGATAAGTAAATTTGCTTAGTTGTCAACTTCTCCATGATTTTAGGTTATTTTGCTTATTTTCATGTTTAAATAATTTATTATATAATAAAAACGAATTTATGTTAATAATATTATATTTTTAGAAAATATGTTAATTATTTTATATTAGATTGTTATCTTAAAAATATATTTTCCAATTATTATTTTAGAAGTAATTTTGCTTAGTTGTCAACTTCTCCATGATTTTAGGTTATTTTACTTATTTTCATGTTTTAATAATTTATTATAAAATAAAAAAAGAATTTATGTTATAATATTTTATTTTTAGAAAATATATTAATTCTTTTATATTAGATTGTTATCTTAAAAATATATTTTCAATTATAAAATCTAAGTGAATTTGCTGATGAATTTGTAACTTTCTGTGATTTAGGTAATCTATACTATTATTTGTGAATGATTTTTTGCAACAGAGCTCTCACGTTGAAAGTTAGAGCGGTTAATATCGTTTATATCTTTAATGAATAATTAATTTTTTGAATATAATTAAACATAAATAAAAAACGAATTTCAATGATTTTAGATTTATCTTTATCTAAAACTATTTTATATTGGGTTATAAAGTTTTTATTAACCTTGAAAAATAATTATATTAGTTAATATATAATTAATTATAAATTAAAAACGAATTTCATTTATTGATAATTATCCTTATTTTAATTCTTTTTTATATTATGTGATAAAGTCTTTATCAACCTTGAAAAATAATTATATTTGTTAACATATAATTAATTCTAAATTAAAAAATGAATCTCATGAATTTGATAATTATCTTTATCTAAATTTTTTATATTGTGTTATAATGTCTTTTTTAACGTTGAAAAATAATTCTATTTGTTAATATATAGTTAATTATGAAAAATCAATTCGCAAAGACTTTATGTATAGATAATTTATATTGTGTTATCCAAAACATTATTAAAGATAATTTTTTATACTTTTTTGTTATGTCTAAAAATGATATTAATTTATTACTAAATGTTTTAAGTTTATGAGTATTTTCAAATATAAGTTGTGTAATGAAAATTAGTTATATAATGATGAAAATTTTATATATAGAAAGAATTTCTTTAGTTTATTATTAAATATTTTGAGTCTATAAACAATAATTTATTATAATTTACATAAATTGATTATATATTTATTTATAGATATTAGTAAAATTATTAAGCCCGCAAGTGCGGGCAAAACACCTAGTAAACAAGATGAAAAACAACAGAAGCAGCGTCGCAATCTAGTATCAAAGTGGCCCAATACCATTGACCCGGTCCAGCAAAATTCTAGAAACAACAACACAATTACATAGATCTCTTCAATGCTTTTAAAAGTAAACAGAAAACTTTAGATAAATATCAACATTCACAAGAGTTAGCATCACAAATACATTAAGAGAAGAAGATGACACACTAAAGAACAGATTGCTGCAATTAGATGAAAGATGGGTCTTACAAAAAAAAGAGGCCATGACAAACTTAAAAAAAAAAAAGCATTCACTATTCTCACCCTTGCTTGCTTGCTTATATATTACATCATTTCTACTACAAACCATCTTTAATATATATTATATGTTCATATTATTCTATATATAATTTAAAAAAACTAGATTCTTATCTCAAGAGTTAGCATAGAAACTTTGAAAGACCTTAACAACATAGCTGGCTTTGTTGTTCTTTGATCAGCCTATCCTTCTTCTGTTCTCTCTGCCTTCTCTTAAGCTTCTTCCTCTCCTGTATTCTACCTCTGCATCAGAGCTTGAGAAACCAGTGGGATAGCTTCTGCTGCCTTTCACAGATCCCACTCTTGATAGTAAAGCCTCTTCATCAGCATGGATTCTGTTTCTTAGCTTGTGATCTAATAAGCCACAGAAAATGAAACACTCAACACACAATGCAGCAAGGTGATTTGAGATTAACAAAGACAATAATTCACCTTTGTAGTTATTTGATGATGCTTTTGGTGAATCAAGATCAGCTTCTGATTTGGAGCTAGTTTGACTCAGTAAATTAGCTTCTCTTCTAAGAAGTTTTTGTCCCTCGCTAGGTGAGTAAGCTGCTGATTTGAGTAAAGACTCATCCATCACATCATTGATCTCTACATACTGACTAGTTGTGATGACTTCATCGGCACTAAACCCAAAGGAAGCCCTGTAAGCTTCTAACTCCTCCATGTCTTGCCTCGTCTGCCTGTTCCCATTCCCATTATATCCATTAGCAGGATACACATCAGAGTCCTTAGACACGCTTAACCTTCCACCGTTTTGAGGAACAGAAGGATCATGGTCCTGGTAAAACTTAGCGAAAGTTTCAGGACAGAAGAAGTTAGTCTCCTGCAAAGGTGTGGAGACACCAGTTTGGGGAGACAACAACCCGTCTCCTGAAGCTCTAGAGATTGGTGATCTAAGAGCACTAGCTGGACTTCCAGGGTAAAGAGAGTACGTAGAGTGAAGATCATTGTAATGGCCTTTACCAGAGTTCTTGAGATCCATTGAAGAAGTCAAGAAACGAGCGTAAGGGACATCAGGTGAGGAAGGAGTAGTTAAATGCGCAAGCTCAGGAGGAGGAGTGAAAGGAGCAGTGGATGGCTCAGTGGTGTATGTAGAGAAAACAGGAGGTGAGACTAGTTGAGTCTCGTGAGCATAAGGTCCTGTAGCGTACATACTAGATGAAGGACCACCAGGTGAGTTAGCAGCGAGTGATAAGTAGGAGTTGTTGTTTGGTGACTGAGCTGTTGAAGGAAGAGCAGAGTTTGTGAAGGAAGCAGGAGAAGAGGGTGGAGCTAAATAAGATAAATGAACTCCACCTCCTGTAGCTTGGTTGGTTAAGACACCACCAGGTTGGTGAGTTCCATTGGGTTGTGAGGCTGAGAGATTGCCACCTTCTGGAATGCGTGATGCTGGTACAATTCGTTTTTGGGCTTTTTGTGACTTGAAACAAGAGAACACTCGCAAACAGCCTCCCCACCTTTTCCTCTGCAAAAAGACACACACACACACAACTTCAGTGTAAAGCTTCAAGGCCAAACATGAATCAATTCTTTCTAGAAAACAATGAGATGCTTATGGATCCTTCAAGCTTATACTCGCCGAATAAAGATTAAAAAAAAACTATAAAGGTTTGATTTTTATTAGTTGGAATGATTAGTTACCAAGGAAAGATGTCAACTTTCTGGTAAATTCTCAATAACGGTAAATCTAAGATCAAAAACCGCTATAAAGGTTTGATTTTTATTAGTTTGAATGATTAGTTTGCAAGGAAAAATGTAAACTTTGTGTTCAATTCTCAATGATCACTTAATGTAAACACTATTGGGGTAACGCTGAGAAGAACAGAGTGATCAAAGGGGGAGACTTTAAACATAAACGCTGATGAACATTGCTTCCACTAACTAGATTAGTGTGAACAGAGTCGAATAGTCAGATCTAAGCTTCTAAGAGGTTAGATTTGAGAGAGTGAGCTAAGTAAAACCCACAAACACGAACTTGAATTTAGAACGAAAAACAGAGAAAGAAAGGAAACCTGTTCATGCTGCTGAAGAAACCTATGCTGTTCTGAGCCCATTAGGTTTGTGTCTGTTCCTCAAAAATCACTCTTTTTAGTAAATGACTAGAGGGTTTCAGGTTTAAGAAGTAATCATCTGAGGTTTCACAGTTTCTCTCCCAGGTTATGGATACGATCCAGAACTACACAAAAAGAACAAATAAAAAAAAGGTTTAAGAAAAAAGATTAAAAGTTTGGTTAAGACAAAAGTTGATAAAGTTTT